GCAAATTCAAGTATAGGAGATTCGTGCCACAGAGACGAGTCTCGAATACAGTCGCTGATCCAGAATTAATGTGCAGCATGCTCCCAACCGTAAGACAAATCTCAAGTAGTTGAAGCACAATTTAGGAAAGAAATACCTATGAGATTCTGGTGAGGAGGATGGGTGCGACTACGCTTGGGCTGAGGACGGGTTTCCTGGAAATCGTCATCGATCTCCATCTGGTTAGGGCTCTGGTCGCTGGCCTCACTGGCGCTTCGGTCCTGATTGTCTCCGCCGCTTCCGTTTGCCTTACCGGCATCTTCACCCCCGCCGTTATCCTTCCGATCTCTACTCCGTTTCTACAGATATATAAACATAGCAGTCGGAACTTGGAACTCCGAAATTCGATGCTGAATTAAGCAAAACTGAACAAGAAAAGGAGACTCACATGGCCATGAGGAGCGTCTTCCATGCTGAATTAGGGTTCGAATCTGAGAAATTCCCAAGTGGTGATGACGAAGAAGACCTAGAAGCTCAGATGATTTTGTGACTCCCGCCAATCACCCACTGAAACTTCCCGCTGACGATAAAATGAAATTATTCCCAATTTCACATTTCGATGCTTCATTTGTCTTTTTTTTTTCATCACTCCTTCCGTTAATTGTTTTTACGACAATTGCCACTGGATATTAATAATTACTACATTAATTGCTTTGGATTCTAAAAATTACTTTTCATTCTGTGTGTTGACTAGGACCAAATTTATCATTTACACATTTCATAGATTGCAATTATCACATGATAAACAGATTTAACTTTTCTTATTTTTTCAAATCTTTGCCCTATAAAAGAAGCTCTACTGAGCCAAGAACCAAAGGCACATGACATGAAACAAGTCTGATATGAACAAACGAAAATGCAAACAACAAAAAACTAAACTAAATTAACAAGTGTTGGCCATTGACTCGATGAGCAACGCATATCCCTCGGGGACAGGTGACTGCAGACGCACACACTCCGCTAAGGCAGGAACGTCCGATGACACATCCAGAAACTGGGCCACAAAGAGTAGCAGGTGGAAATCTGAGATCCTCTTCACTAGTGGCAAGCTCTTTGCACGGTCTAGATGGCTTTTCAGTGCCCGCATTGTTGCTCGGATGCTCCGGTTCTCTATTGGGAATGTTGTTGATAGAGGTCCCTGACAAGATGGTCAGATGATGTTAAAAACAGAGGGACCAATGATTTCAGCAACATGAATCCAACAAGACAAAGTACTAATCAGAAATTGAGAATCAAGTTTCATGTACAGTAAAACCTTCACCTTATGCTTATACTCATTCTTTAGCCTTGAACAATTTATATTAGCGACGCCGAGTTCTATTAGTGATATCATTGTCTATCTTCACAATGTTCTAAACCTACTACTTAGCTCCAGAGTTCATACTTCATACCCAGAGCCAAAAGCAACACAATGGATCTCAAATGCTCACTATTTCCATGTTTTAATCTTTCAACCTAATCCTAAAGAGCAAAAGAGAGCATACGCATCTTATAACAAAATATTTAAATGGTTATGATGCAATAAGCTCAAGGGCATATATAGAAAAGCAACCTGATGATCCAAGATCTTGACAACCACGAGGAAGAAATCGTTGTCCACCTCCTTAACATCCTTCACACCAACAACAACCTCCTTCTTCATCTTAGAGAGCTTGGGATCATCCTCAGGCAAAATCTCCGTCTCGAACCACCCTTCCTTGAACAGCCTGATGCACATATCACTCATCTGAAACGCCTCGAAATGAACATCGGCTCCACCGTCCTCATTGACCTCGAGCTTCACCACCGCCGTGACCCACTCCTGCAAGTCGCTCTCGGCGTGAAGCTCCGCCGCCTGTAACACCTCGGCGTTCGATAGCGTGTACCCGGTCTTGTCCTGCATCACAGTCTGGTTAAATATAAAACCGACCTTTCTCATCCCCAAGCCCATGGCGATTGCGTCGACGCGCTTCTCTTCCTCAGCATCTCTCATCAGAATGAGATTGGCCTCCGTCCCTTGCTGCGGCGGCTCGTATATGAAATCAACTTCTACCTGTCCTTCCTCCGTCAGTGTGCCGTACATAAACCCACCGCGCTTGACCGCGAAGGCAAGCGACTCGTTGACGTAGTGCTGGAAGGCGTTGGCGCAATCGCGATCGAAGGAGACGGAGTCGCAGTGAGACTTCTCCTGACGAGTGACGCGCATCTGGCGTGCGATCAAGTCATCGACGGTCATCTTCCTCCCGAAAGATCCGGCAGGGGTCACAGCAGGACCTCCGCGAATGGTGCGCTCACCGTCGTAGGCGAGGTAGAGCATAGAGCCATGGGAGAGGTTGAGTGAGGAGAGGCGGAGGTTGGGGTCGGAGAGGTCGGTGAAGGAGAGTAGATCAGAGGGAGATTTGGCGAGGAGAAGATCACGATTGGTGGATAAGGTCTGGCTACGGAGAGGGATCTGGAGGTGATCCTCGATCAAGGATTTGAGCTGAGAAACAGTGATATGAGGTCCATCGGCGGTAACACGCTCCAACCCATCTCTGCTCCGGATTCTAAGCATCATCATCTCTCTTCAAATTCAAACAAAACAGATTCAACAGACTCGAAACTCTCAAAACCTTATTCGGCTTTTCGAATAATCGTACAGGGAATCGAAGAACACCGTTCGACTGAATACTGAACACGTAAAACATTTCCCTTTTCCCAAGTTTTATGTTTCCGGGTCGACCCGGTACACAGTCGGGTCGGTCGTTGCTAAAAGCAACAAAATATGCATATGACTAGGTTAATCATTGTGTATATTGTGAATTGGATACGGACATTTTAGCAACCAGGATTGTGTTTGTATGTACCAACTTATGGACACACGTTGATGTATGTAAATGATCTTCATAGCACATACTGTCGAAGTAAAAAAGACATCATAAAAAAAAGCATCCTTTACAAATTACAAACACCAGAGAGATTTGAATCAACATGATCAAAAAGTAAATATGGTCGCAAAACAAGATACAAACGACAATACATAAAAATACATGTTAAGGCCGTTTATTTTTTTTGTTTCCTTCTAAAAAAGAGTAACTAAAACCAAATTTATTTTGAACTAATCAAGACAAATTTGAACCACACAGATGAGGTGCAATAAGTAACAAAACCTGTGGAGAAAGAACATCACTCCGAAGCTGTTTGAAAGATTAGTGCGACTCTACAAATATCTGCAGTATAATGCCAAACAACAACAATGTAGATTAAGGTGGATCTTAAAGAATGTGTCTTAGAACCCAGACCAAAAAAGATACATATGTTTACACTGACCTCCATCTCTTGAACAAGTTCGTAGGTTTTCTTCTCTCTTGTGTCGAAGGCTGTGATCCCAGCGATTTTCTGTATTCCGAGTTTTGTGGCGATAAGATTCTGCAAAGATAGATTGAGGTTAAGGATCTCAGAAGCACGAAGGTCCATTTGGAGATGGTCAGTTTGTCATACCAATTGGAAATCATTAGAGCCAAATGCCTCAATCCTGGGTAACATCTGCAAGAGTTTCAATACGTGAGTCCCTCGTCTTATAAAAAAAAGGTTTAGTGGTGAAGCACCTTCAACTAGTTACTGTAAATTTCTGGTTGCCTACGCATTGCATAACCAAATCAGTTTCACAACCAAATCAGATTCACAATTCTGCCACCCGTGTATGCTTGTGTGTAAAGTACTAACTACATGGTTTTACAGAGACCTTGTATTAGAGAAGATTCACAACAGGAGACAAGATAGTTCAGATATGTTACCAGAGTCTGGAGACCATTAATACCAACAGGGTTTTCCATTTGTGAATCATCATCTAGTGACAGTGAGACCTCAAAGGGTCCCAATTGCCTATCAGTTTGGCTGGTGAGACTGAAGTATGCCTACGGAAAACAGTATACGCTCAGTTTGAACCCAATGTAAATTCAATTAAATCTTTGGGTATTACAAACAGTAGAGACAAAAAAACAGTTATATTACCGGAAAGGGTCTGTTTAAGTGTATAACAGCTGGAACCTCAACAACTCGCATATTAACCTCTTTGCGGCTGACTGGCTGAAAAGAAACAAAGAAGAGTTACGATGATGGAAGTTTGTTATATGATGAGAGAAGATCAAACATGAGCATCCCATATGAAGCATGCACGGACATCCAGGAAAAACTAATGTTTTCATATATATAACGCAAGGTAGTAAGTATAATACTGCTGAATAAAGATATTAGTGCAACACGAGTTTTCCTAGTTGTTTCTAACTGCCACCAAATCTAAGATTAACTCGACCAAACCCATACCCTGCATTAGCTTCTCCAGATTGTCTGCTTAATTAGACTAATGATTATATATGACTTGGTGTCAAGAAAAATGGCCCCAATATCTGAAAGCTCTAAGCAAACCAATCACACTCAGGCTTAGACCGTAAACCGAACAGCAAACAATCAACAATTAAGCACAAATTCACGTCTTGTTTTCAAAGAGTAAAGATCACAACTTACAGGACCAAGAATTTGTTGTGTCTGTAAGCGACCAGGTTCACCCAAATTTGTGCGCCATGTTATTTGAAATTTACCCAGGATATTACTTCCCTGGAATTTTGTTTGCCCAGAAACATCTGTAGATGGGCTTAACTTATAGAGATAGTTGTGGATACCCCCGCCAGATCGAATTATAACCGGCGGCTTAGGTATCAGTCCACTGAGATCACTGATAAGTAGAGAGATGGAACAGCAGATTAAGACAATAGGATAGTTCATGTAGCCAAGATGCACATTATGATTCTGGGCAAATGTGACAGACCTGGTCAAAGGATCTTCTGTTGAATGGTGATCTTCATTTTGTAATCTTACAGCACTCCATTGCTTGGCAGGTTCAAAATCAACTTGGTCCATAAAGAGGTTTGCTTTTGTATGGTTCTCAATGCAAGCCTCTAAATATGTTGTCTCCTGGTGTAAAAGAAACAATGATTGCCCAAACATTAACAACACATGAGGTCATACATTCTACAACCAACACAATCATCTAAATACAGGTTCAACTACACATACAGGGAATAAGAACACAATGTAATAAGACGAAAACAGTAAATCTACCAACTCTCCTGTTTAATATCGCAAAAAAAGCTTTACCACTTCTTTAATCGTGGACAAGGATTATATGAATACTACAGACCAGAACAAAAGTGGTTCAAGTGCATAATGGAATTTTTTGTACAGGGAATCATTGACAAACGAGATATGATTTCAACGTAGCAGCATTATGAATACCATATGCATCATCATGATATTTACAAACTTCCCCTCTATGATCTCTGTAAAACCCCATATTACGAAGTACAGAAAACAAAACCTTCTGAAGAATCAATCACAGAATGAATGTTCGCAAACGTACCTTAACAACTCGAACCTGCATACAGAGGCGCAACGATTAGACAAGTCTGAAGAGAAGGCACAAACAAACGACAAGCAAAATACTCATACGTATGTAACTAGTATGTCACCTTGGTCCTCACTGAGAGAGGGTTTGCAACGACAAACTTGAAAAACTGAGGAAGATATTTACGCTCACCATCAGCATCATTGTACAATGCCGAGCAGACCAACCTAACACAGGAATGGCAATCATGACCGCGGAGCAATTTCAATGACAAGAAAGACAAAGAGACACATAAAAGTAACAGTAAACTCACGTGTGAGCTCCAAGCTCTTTTACATCATGTTCTACTATGAAGTCATAACGTCCCCCTGTCCGTATCGACTCAACAGGTGCCTTGGATGTATCCAGAAGTAGAATTCTCTGCCTCTCTGTCTGAATTTCTGCCTACAATAACATATGGAAGATATATGACTTCCCTTGGCTTTGTCTTTTGTCGTTTCTAATCCAAGATCCCAAAAGAAGAAGATAAATTACGTTTACAGATAATCCTCAGAACATTCCACAATAGAAATTCATGTCAACCAACCAGTGAAACAAGAGCAAGAAGGAAAGATAAATCACAAACTAGGCGATAGGCAAGTACTGTGACTGTATGCAAAACAAATATGAAACTCAATCGCTAGTCCACAGCTTTCAGATTACAATAGAGAAAGCAGCAAAATGCAGGTGACGAACCTTAATGGTAACATCCCGAACTTCGGAACTGGAACTATTGTTGACGCTGATATAGCTACAAAACGTTTCTCCGAGATAGATCGCCCTGCGCAACAGGAATCCGGATCAAAGAGCTGATAGGGACTGTAATCGGCAG